GAATTGATTGACGGAAGTATTTTATGGTCAACTTTGATGGGAGACGCCAGGCCATATATTGTTGATGACAGTTGTGTCGTGGGGAATACAAAAAGGGCAGCCATTTTGGAATAGTTTGTTTATAGGCAACAGAGAAAAAGAAACGAAGAAAAAGAAGGAAAGATGAAAGAGTGAATTCGTTTACTCAAGATTTAGTGGCAAGGGAAAGACAATAAAATTGGCTGTGGTTTTGAGGGCGAAGCGTGTTCAGAAAATATTTTATTCTGGGACGATGTTTGAATTAATGATTCAATAGCTTTAGTGTTTGACAATGACAGGCGTTCAGATGTGAGACATGAAAGTGAATGATTGGGAAAATAAAGGGAAATAAACAAATGGAGAAAGAAAAAAGATAGAGATACTGCAAGAAGAAGAAGAAGGAGGTAAAGAAGAAGAAGAAGAAGAAGAAGAAGAAGAAGAAGAAGAAGAAGAAGAAGAAGAAGAAGAAAACACAAGGGGACATGGCTGGAACACGCTGTAAGGATCGAACTCGTTTCAATCAATGAGTGCCTGAGTTAACTTATCAAACATTATCAAACGGTACCCTTATAGTTACTCAGCTTATTTTTGATTGACACAAGGTCACAGTTATGGAGCAACCTTTGATCTCTTTGTTCTCCCTCTTTCACATATTCGCCCTTTTAAACAAAAGATCACATTTCGAACAATGTTACTGTTGTGGTGTCCTCCCTCTAAAGAGTCGATGTTGGACTCTTCCACCTACTTTAAGATTAGTAGGAGAGAAGGCCATGTGGGAACAGTCGACCAGACTGTTCATTTCTGTTGAACTCTTTGCCTCGGGCGAAGCTTTGCAGCAGGGCAGTGTTTCATCCGGGGAGGTAGACAGTCCCTGAACCCGTTTAGGCGGGTTCAAAGGGAATATTTTTGGCCGAGCCTACGGGCTCGGAGAACCCACGATAAACTCGGCCCTGTGCCACATACATCCCTTGTGGGTGGGGGCTGTTAAATATTAACAGTCGAACAGATTGTTCTACCGCGTTGTGATTGTTCGCAGCTGCTGTCGAACTCTCTGCCTCTCTCGGACGAGGCTTTGCCGAAGGGCAAAGTTTCGTTCGGTGAGGTAGACAGACCCAGGACCCGTTTATACGGGTTCTAAGGGAATATTTTTGGTCGAGCCTACGGGCTCGGAAAACCTACAAATTCGGCCTTGTGCCACATACGTCCCTCGTGGAGGCGGCTGTCAAATATTAACAGTCAAACAGATCTGTTCGGCTGTGCTGGTAAAACTCACTACCTCCGGGCAGAGAGGATCCCCAGACGAGGCTATGTCGAAGGGCAGAGTCTAGTCTCGGGAAACATCTACCCGACCCCGTTTTATACGGGGCATATGAGGAATTTTTGGCCGAGCCTGCGTGGGGAGGCTGGTAAATATCAACAGTCGAATAGATTGAACGCTGTATCATCCATCTCACACTCACTAGTCGCGTAATACTCTTTTGTTGTACTTACTGTTTAATATATGATATATATGTAACACTTGTTTTGTTATTTCTTTAACCATTTACTTGGACCACTTGTTCCCCTCACCAAGAACATTGACTTTAGTATCATTCAACCATAAAGTGACGAAAGCTGCGTCACTCTTATAAGTGGATGGTTGCCTGTCTTGAAACTCAGCATTCGACATAATTTTATTTTTATTTTTAATTAGCACTTATGAGAAATATGCAACAATTTTAAACAGCAGGTTAAATATGTCTATTTCACTCGACCCAAGACGCAGGCCTCACTTTCAGTCTTTCTTCCTATTGATATGACTGACCCTTTTTCGCCGCCCCCTCCACCACAACAGCAACAAAATCAATTCACCAGAAAAAGTATTTCCTCTACATTATTGTTTCATCAGCTGAGATTAGTTTGACATAAGGTCGCAAGTATGTGGCAGTAAACTGGCGCTACAGAATAAAAAAGAACTTGACCAAATAAGAAAAACCACATCACTTGAAAACTTTCAGCTGCAGCAACAACTAATCTGGCTAGCATATGTAACTGGAATAGAAAAATCAAGATGTTGACTTTTCACACTACCATAAACAAAATGTTAGGAAGGAAACTCCCATCAGTATTAGAAAGAGTTTTAACAGTGAGCTTGAGAAACCTATTTTATCGAAAAGTTTTATCAGAAATATTTTATAAATTTCAGTCGACAGTAATGCGAACAGTCAATGAATACCACCTGTTTACCTATAAGGTTACAGCTAATCTTACCATTACGATTACCATTGGTCAATTTGACCTGCTGGTTTAAAATTACCCGACTATGAAACGCCCAAGTCTTCCCTCTTGTTGGTGACGTTGTGTTCATTATTGAAGAAAGTAAAAATAATAAAAATAAATAAAAAGGAAAAATGTAATTGACAGGAAATATCTATGGGTTTAGAACAAAACACTTCGCCCCGAAATTATTAAATCGAAGCAACATACGTCGGTCTATGAAAAAAAAAAAAATGAAATAAAACTGAAAAATAAAAAAGATTAGAAAATATATCAAAATATGGACAAATATTTTGGCCGTAGCTTCAGTTTTACCTTTTTTTTTTTTTCACTTTACACGTCGTCTCTTTAACTCTTTTATTTTCCCCCGTGTTTAAAGTTTTTGTTTTGGACTCTGAACCTATTTTTATTTTGGGATCTGAGCCCATTTTTATTTTGGACTCTGAACCCATTTGCTGAAAACGGATATATTTTCTTGATTTTTTTCTTTCTAAACTTTATTCTCTTTTTTCTATATTCCCCACCTCCAGTTCCAGAAGACTAGAAGAGATAGCTTCAGACAATTTACCAAACAGATTTTCTTTGTTACTGTTGTTGTTCTTTTTCTTTTTGTCTTTTCGCTGTCATCTTTTTTTCTTTCCACGCTTTTTAAAAAATCAAATTCACCTCATGCAAGGCAGTAAAACCACTAAGACACGAGGGTTACTGAGTGGGAAATAGAAAACAGAAACGTTATTAAGGAACGAGAACAATATAAGTGTAATAAGCAAGATAGTTTGATTGATATTGCATATAAATCTTTGAAGATCAAAGCTGGCTGGAGAGCATGATGCCGGAAGATAGTTCCACAATCGAGAAGTGTGAAAAAAGAAATTGTTAGCATAGAACTTACGGTTGTATCTTATTGGTATTCCATTGTGAATTGATGAGACTTGTTGCTAATTTAGTGCTGCGCTTAAATTCATAAAGTCTGAACCCTAAGCTTAGTCTTGCCATAGCGAAAAGCGCATCCGAACAATTACCATGAATGAATTTATAGAAAAAGCACGGGGAAGCTACCTTGTGACGGTGGGAAAGAGACCGAAGCCGAGATGCCAGGTAAGGACTTATAATATTGCTGATTCTTCTTTGGAATTTTTTCAAGAATCTTTAAATATATGGAAAGAGCAGCAGACCTTCTGCGGCAGCAATATTCAAAGCATTGTCGAATGGCAGACTTATAGATATATAAGATAGATTCTGGAGAGAAAAATTGTCTGGCACGACACAGGGAACCAACTTTTTTAGCAGATCTAGCAATGAATTCAATTTAGTCTTTCCACTTTATGCCGGCTGATAGTGTTAGCTCAAGAAGAAGCAACGAATCACTTTCCTAGAGGTTAGCATCAGCCATGCTGATGAAAGATAAAAAGAGTTATCTCAGATGATTAATAGAGAGCATTTTTGTTTTGGATCTATTTTTTAAAAAATCCTTTTATTTCTAATTTAATGAAAAAAAAAAAAAAAGAATCCTTCTCTGTCATTATCTTACCTCTTTTTTTTTGTTTTACTTTGTCGCCCTTCTCTTCATTCGTTCACCCTCAGTTGTAACAGAATGTCTTAGTTAAACAGGATATACATTACCGGCTTGAAGGCTATCGCTGCTCTTCAGCAACCCGGGCTGAGAGAGAAATATAATTCAACAATGTCGACAAGATTTTTTTCAAAATTCAAGACACAAATAGAAATGAAGAAAAATCGGAGTACTGTATTGTAATTGAAAAAAATCTCCCAATAGGGAGGATAGATATTTCGATCCATATTTGAAGAAATTTAAAGTGCACTTTAAACGTGATTAATACCGGTTTTGAAAAGCTCAGCAAAGTACCAAGAAACAGAAAGAAAATCGTTAGAAACAAAGAAAAGAATGCTAAACTGGTATGCAACATAAATCCTCCTATATGGTAGTAAATGCTGGCCAATTTTGTCACGTGATTATGAGACTTGAAGTACCAGAAATTTGGCTCTACAGAAGGATGCTGAGAATATCATGTAAGAAACGAACGAAGAAGTCTTAAGAAACATGAAAACAAAAAAGGAAACATACTCAAAATCAGAAAGAGACGGTAGAAAATTTTTGGAACATAATGAGGAAAGAGAGCTTGGAGAATTTGATACTGACAGGATATATCGAAGACACAAATGACAGGGGAAAACAGCGGGACATCTACCCGACGAGCATGTGTAAATGAGTGGCGGAATGGGGGTGGAAACTTGACAAAAGGACAAACGATTCTGATGTCTACAAAGGAAATTATGGAGAGTCATGATCTCCCACATTGTGAAGAAACTCGGCATTCCGGGCTTCGCTCATCCACCAGTTTCAATGTTGAACGATCAATTTGAATTTAGTGTTCATTTGTTTGTAGGGTTGTGAAGTTTAGTCCCTGGGTTTGGTAGTGTTGAAAAATCATATGCACTTGCTCAGTGGAAGAAACGGAGAAGCGACCCAAAGGCGAAAAAGAAAAAAACAATAAACAAGCAGGT